GGTGTAACGGTGTGCTGGAAGGTATCAGGATCTGCAGAAAGGGCTTCCCCAGCAGGATCCAATACGCTGACTTCAAGCAGAGGTAATCCAAAACTAAGATCTGCTATATTTTGACAATATTTTAATAAATGATTCACTGTCAATTAATTTATCTTTAATCAGATACAAAGTTTTGAATGCCAGTGTCATTCCTGAGGGACAATTCATGGACAACAAAAAGGCCTCAGAGAAACTCTTGGGCTCTATTGATGTTGACCCAACTCAGTACAAGTTTGGACACACAAAGGTAATCCGTCTGTCTGTAAATGGTGTGCTTTCCCTGATACTGCAAGTAACGTTACCCTCATGTCAAGGAACACTTCCCTTTCTGTTATCTCAGGTGTTTTTCAAAGCTGGTCTGCTGGGGATTTTGGAGGAGATGCGAGATGATAAACTGGCTAAACTGGTCACAATGACTCAGGCTCTTAGCAGAGGTTTCCTCTCAAGGACAGAATTCCAAAAGATGATGGAGCGCAGGTATTGTAGTCAGTTAGCTTTATAAATCTAAGGATGTTCATAAGGACAACTTGATTGCCATGTTGACCACATACATTTATTTTGAAAAAAGAATCCATGTTTCTCATCAATATTGCTTTAAGGATCTAAATGAAATCTGTTTTTTTACTTTGATCCCTGTTTTCCCCAGGGAGGCCATTTACTCCGTCCAGTACAACATCCGCTCATTCATGAATGTCAAAACCTGGCCATGGATGAAGCTCTACTTCAAGATCAAACCTCTGCTGAAGAGTGCAGAGAGTGAAAAGGAGATGGCGCAAATGAAAGTGGACTTTGCAAAGATGAAGGAAGATCTAGCAAAGGCTTTGTCAAAGAAGAAGGAGCTGGAGGAGAAGATGGTTTCTCTGCTGCAGGATAAGAATGACTTGCAGCTACAAATGCAGTCTGTAGGTTAAAATGAAAAAGAGAATTTGTTTCTTCAATTATCTCCTTTTTTACAAAAACCTAAATCATTTTTAACTGGATGTCATTTCAAATCTAGGAAGGTGAAACCCTCTGTGATGCAGAGGAGAGGTGTGAGGGTCTCATTAAAGCGAAAATCCAGCTTGAGGCCAAATGCAAAGAAACGTCTGAGAGACTGGAGGATGAGGAGGAAATGAATGGTGAGCTGACTGCAAAGAAGAGGAAGCTGGAGGACGAGTGCTCTGAGTTGAAGAAAGACATCGATGACTTGGAGCTCACCCTGGCCAAAGTGGAAAAAGAGAAACATGCCACTGAGACAAGGTTACGAGACGGCTTTTCAATCATGCATTTTCAGGGAGATTAAAACATTTGTGTTAACTCAAATTGTTATCAACATTTACAGGTTAAGAACCTTGTTGAGGAAATGTCATCTCAAGATGAAATCATTGCCAAGTTGACCAAAGAGAAGAAAGCCCTCCAAGAGGCCCATCAGCAGACCCTCGATGATCTGCAGGCTGAGGAAGACAAAGTCAACACTCTGACCAAGGCTAGAGTCAAGCTGGAGCAACAAGTCGACGACGTACGTATCAACAATCAGTTAAAAGGAAAAGATTATTGAGGTTAAAGGGAAACACTTCTCTTATTAGAATCTGGTAACAGCACTGACACCAATGTCCTGCTTCATGGAAGTACTTTAATGCTGACTTCATACGGCTTTGACAGTAGAAAAGTGACTATAGTTTGCTTTACTAAAATGTTGCTGGATTATATCCCCGACTTTGTTCCCGCGAAACTCTTGTGTGTTTGGAGGCAAAGTAAATTCAGTGCTGGGCTTTGCCACTTACAATAAGAACAACGTTGAAGAAGGGTCATTGTTAACGTAAATACAAAGAACTGATACAAAAGAAAAAAAGGAACAACAATTATAATCAAATTCGATTTTTGGTTTTTCTCAAAATCCTAAGGGTTATAACCTACATTTTAAGACATCATCTACTTTGCTCACAGCTTGAAGGTTCTCTGGAGCAAGAAAAGAAACTTCGTATGGATCTGGAGCGAGCCAAAAGAAAGCTTGAGGGAGATCTGAAACTGGCCCAGGAATCCCTGATGGATCTGGAGAATGACAAGCAGCAGTCTGACGAGAAAATAAAGAAGTAAGCATAAACAAATGCTCTGTGTCAACCAACTTGCAATAACAATTGATTTGAGGAGCACTGCTGGCTTGTTACTTCAATGAGACAACTCATTCTGTTCCCTGCAGGAAGGACTTCGAGGTAAGCCAGCTCCTAAGCAAGATCGAGGATGAGCAGACTCTTGGAATCCAGTTTCAGAAAAAGATTAAGGAACTTCAGGTATAATTTGAAGTGTTTTAGGTTATAAGAATATTCAAATATCTTCCAGGATCTTTTGTTAAACGTTCTGTTTTTCAGGCTCGTATTGAGGAGCTGGAGGAGGAGATCGAGGCTGAGCGAGCTGCTCGGGCCAAGGTGGAGAAGCAGAGGTCTGATCTCTCCAGGG